ACCTGCTGGGCACAAATGCTATGTAATGGGGACAGGTGATATCAAGATTTTAGTTCAGCTACCTCAGTCCACTGAAATCCATCTCCTATAATAGGTTCTCTATATTTCAGGCTTTGGTCGGAATCTTATCAGCCTTACGAAGGTTGCAAGTCAGCATAAAATATAGACTCTTTGCAAATACTTGACTTGCGAGTTTATTTTAAATAAAACTATTATAATGACAAGCCCTGTGCTTCAAGGATCTTATAATCTAAATTGTACATTTTTGCTTCCTCCAGCAGTTATCTCTTATGCAACCTCTTATTGCAACATTCCATCTCCAGAAGAACTACAGAACATTCAAACATGGCATCTTTGTTTGGACCACTTAAATTATGATATGATAAAAAAAGATCAATATCAATGGTTTTGTAACTAGTATTTGACTTAAATCTATTGAAAACCCAGGATTATGTTTTAAATGTTCTTTTGACAAATCTCATGGAAAAACATTTTCTAAAAGTTTAAATAACATTTGAACTACATTATGTAGCATGCTTATTCATAGTGATATTTGTGGCTCCATGAATGTGCCATCTCATGGAGGATCATTATACTATATTTTATTTAAGATGATTCTACATGTTATTATTATTATTATTAAATATTTTTCAAAAATCAAATGCAATAATATGTTTTTAGAGGATTTGTAAAACCATATTCAGAGATACTAGTTATAAGATTTTTACTTTACAAATGGACTATGTAGATGAATTTTGTAGCCAATGCTTTAATGATTTTCTACATGCAAAAGGCATTAAACACAAATTAACAGTATCATATACTCCAAAGCAAAATGTTGTTTTAATGAGAAATAATTGTACAATAATAGAGGCTATTAGAAGTATGATATATCATGCTTATCTAAATCCTGCATTTTGGTTGTTGACAATATAGTTTACACCTTAAATTGTACATGCTTTCATCTTCTTCCAAATATTATTCCTTTTGAGGCTTATACTAGTAAAAAAAAAAAAAAAAAAAAAACCCTCTCTTGCTCATATGCAACTATTTAGATATAAGGTTTATACTTATATACTTAAAAAATTACAAAAAAAAACTTGATGAACAAAGTTGCATTAGATTATTTGTTGGATATTTTGATGAATCTAAAGCTTATTGAATCTAGGATTTAACTCACTAACAAGTAATAATTAGTTGAGATGTTATCTTTGATAAATACAATTATATTTTAGAATTATCATTTACAAAACATATATC